ATGGCCCCTGCTCCACGCCCCCATTCACTCCTTACACACATGGTCCTTGCTCCACACCCCCATTCCTTCCTTACACACGTGGCCCCGGCTCCACGGCCCCCCATTCCCTCCTTACACACATGGACCCTGTTCCATGCCCCCATTCCCTCCTTACACACATGGCCCCTGCTCCACGGCCCTCCAACCCTCAGGTATGGGGAACACTCCTGAAGACCCCACGAGCCCTTACATTCCAAAGTATTGTTAAGACTTTCTAGAAGCCAGAATGACTTCAGAATCGCTGTTCTCATTTCCAAGGTCTTCCGCTGATTTCCTCATATGACTAAATACAAACAGCAAACAAACCAACAACTTCCCCGCCTCACAAACATCATGAGACCCAATTAAGTTAGAAGGAAAACACGATGAAATGGTTTCAGGATTTCCCACCGGGGTTATGAATTTCATTTCCTGCTCTTAATTCCTGCTTAACTTCATTATAAAACTCAATGAAAATGCTTTAGGATTTTCACCACACTGTCTCCTCAAGGATTACTTTTTTTCTGAATGACAACAGCAACAAAATAAAACGTCTTTGGTTGGCTAACTAGCTGGAGAAAGACAGGTTTACTCTATATCATCGTTAGCTCTGCCTTACGTTTGTTAAAAGGATTAGCGATAATTGTATCATCATACGGACTATATATTTCTCTCATGCCCTGAGAAAAGAGGAATAACATCGCCGTTCACACATGAGGAGCCCATAATCAGAAAGAGGGTAACAATCAGGGCTGCATTCCCTGGGCAATAAAGGGACATTATTCTATCTTCGGGGGATCTAAATGGATTCCATACCTTTCTCAGAATTCATGACTCTAAATGTTAGGAAAATGGCAAGAGATTTCTTTGATGTGCCTACAGTCATAAAATGAGCCTTAGAGAACATCCAGTCCAATTTCTCACTGCACAGGTGAGGGATGGAGCCCAGAGAGGGAACGCATTAATGCAGACACGGGCAGGAGGCCAGTCCTGCCTCCGGGCCAGCGTCTCTCCTCCCTCTCACATGCTCAGCGAGCAGGCGCTCCCAACAGACCAGCGCTGGGAACTCCGCGACGAGGGCGAGGGCTCAGTCCTCACCACGAGAGCTCGGACCCGCCGGGACAAACAAACCTGGGCCCTGGGCCCGTCTTAATGACGCCGTGATGACTACGCAAAGACAGACATCGGATGCTCCACGAAAGCAAATGACAGAGGCAGCAGAGAACGTTCCCTGGAAAAAGTGACTTTTGAACTGAGCACAAGAGGGTGAGCATATCACTCGTGGCACAAACCAGCGGGAAAGGGAGCCCCTGACCAGAGTGAGCCGGCGCGATCTGCGACAGGCGTGACCGGGGTCCGTCCCGGGCCAACCAGGCGGCACGCCCGCCTGGAGCAGAAGATTCTGATCCGTGGAAGAAGCCAGACTCCAAGGCTAGATGCTGGGAGGTCTCTGACCATTAAAAACG